ATTTAATATCTACGGTTGTAAAATTCTCGCACTCTATCTTTATTTCTTGCACTGTGGTATATTGACATAAAAAAACTATAAACTTTCTATGATCTTCACAACAAAGTAACATTAAAATTTCATCACACACAACCTCTTTAAAACAATAAATAGATTATTGTTCTTTTATCGGATGTCATTTTTAAAACAAATAAATAGGTTTTATACTTTCGTCACAAAATGTCAATTGATTTTGACGTTTGGTTTTTTTTTTTCTTATTGAGTAGTAAAATGTTTTTGTTGGAAAGAGTATTTATGTTTATTTTGTTTATGCGACAACAGCGAATGTACAGCAGCTGGTACAAGGTGCCAATAACAAGATAGAGCATTCAATAAGAAGGTTAAACCAAGGTTAAATGCACAAGTGAAGATTTTAATATAGCTTTGCAGAGCAAAGTAAGTCTCATACTTACTTTCTCTTTCGTAGTTTTGATTGCAGCAGATAGATTCGCCCTTTAGTTATTATTTTGTTGTAGACTTTTTCTTATTATTTTTAGAATTTGCACTATGTAATCTTATAAAATGGGCCTTTTTATCCCAATAGTACATTGTGGCGTCCGTCCCTGTGTTTTAAAATACTGCCATCTATTGTTAAGACTCCGTTCTACTGTACTTCTAGTCACTTTAAATAAATAATCCTTGTAAACCGTCTAAATTCTCTAGAATCTCTATGAACATGTCTCTAAACACCTTCCATCTCTTTCTTTTCATATAACATAGAAAAAGATGGCAATATTTGACTAACCTTTGTACCACGGATATGAGAACTATTTCGCCCCTGGAAGACAAAACTTCTTTTATGGAATTGGTCTTCAAATGATTAGACGGATCACCTGATGGTAAGCATTTGCCGTCGCTTTTGTGGTTTTTTAGGGATTTGAGGATAAGTAATCAACTCAAACAGCAAAACAACGCCCTCTTCCACACTCCTTAAATATGTACAACATCCTGTGTACTATGATCCCATTCTGAAGTTGTTTGTTTAGCCCCAATCCTAACACGAGTCACTCATTTATAGGTAAACAAGATTAGAGCAAGTGATATAGCAATCAAAATTCAACTGCTGGTAAGTTGGCAAGTAATTCGACTTTATGCGGTCCGTGTATAAGTATCTGGCAGGAAATATTTGTGGTAGCAATAATGACGGTTATAACAGCCATATTGGAATTCAAAATTCGAATGAGACTCCTTAACACTTAAAACAACGTTAGAATTGACATAAAATTTCGTTATGTTTTTATTTTAGTGTATTTAAAGTTGCAAATTACAACATTTTGAAGGCGTGGTTTTTTATGTTCTTTCTGAGGAGTTGAGGGGAAACATTGAGTCTTCATTTACTTGTGTTCGTCTTAACATCATATTTTGTAAAATGATAAATGTGGTGTCTATCCTGAAATCTATCAAAATTTGTGTGATATCCATTAGGTGGGGGTATTTATTCTACTTCTCGTCTTGTTTCAAACCACGCCAAGGACCCATAATCTCGCACCGGGAGTTTTCGAGCATAACGTTACACGTATATTTTGTGCCAGATATATTCACAAACTGCTATAGATGTCACTTAATACCTAACTAATATCTTGTGTATTAAAACGCTCCTAACTATGCTTATGTTGAGTTACTAATCTACCAATGTGTGTGTGAATAACTTGCATCCGCATACAGGTAACTTCTTATCTACGTAGCAACATTTATCATAATGAAGTACTTAGAATAGCATCTCTGTCAGTGATATGTAGAAGTATATTATCTATGAGTAATAAAATTAGTTTAATTTATTCAGCTTATTGATAATATGTATATAGGTCTTGTGTCCTATCTATTTGTAAATTTGCTTACCTCACGTTGTAGTTTTATATAATCTCCACACGAAAATGAAATAAAGTTTTATTTTTATTGATGGACCCGAAAATAGCACTAAGTTCAGACATCTATAAATTTATGTGGACTTAATCCTATACCTAGCAAATATTTTTTTTTTAATTGTTTAGGTGGATGTTAAATTAAACCTATTGTAGCTATAGAAGTATTGTTAAAGTAAATATACTAGTTAAAGTAATAAATTATTGTAATATGCAGTTGATTGATAGAATTATTATCTACCTCTCAAATGTATTTAGACCTTATCTTATAGTCCAAACAAATGACAAAGTAGGTTTTAATAATCATTTGTGTGTAGTGATATCATATGATGTTGCATCTTAATTATCTGTGGTGATTTTCCGTATAATAAAGAAAAAAATAGAATAGTCCACATTAGTGATAAGGATTTGACAGCATCATTTTGATTGGAATTAAATGGTTGGTGTGAGTTCTTAATGATAAAATTATTAGGTATGCGTTTAGTAATGATTTAATAGAATAAATAAATGAAGATTCTAAGTCAAAAACTTCATTAACAGCCCATCCAATGTTGAACTACAATACCTCCTTTAATCTGAGGGTTAGCTATACACACCACACTGGGTAGCTGGGATATGTTTGTCGAAAATCGTTGTTGCTTCGTTTGTCAAAAATAGTCTGCTTTTATCACCTGTCCTGTAAGGTATACCTAAATACCTACTGTATTCGTTCATCAGCTTAATAATTAAAATGAAAAAAATCTAATCCTTTTTCTCATATTAACTGACTAGTATAGGTAATTTGACTATTAGATATATAACGTCAGGCAAAAAATATTAACTTTTACTTAAAATTTTATGAATTTTTAGACGATGTACGTTAATTAATAGTTTCGTGTTTGACAGTTCAATAAATATATTGAATTTTATTTATTGGTTTTTATAAATTACCGTTTTTACAATTTGGCAAGTTGATTTTTTTTAGAATTATCAATATCTACTGTTTTGTAATTATAGTGACATAATGGTTTTTTGCAAATGAGAAATATACTAATACCAGTTAAGCATATCGTGAAATAGATAAATGTGATTTTTTTTTTATTTTGATCTAAGTCATATACTCAATTCTGTTATTAATTTTAACAGGCAAACTACAGATCGTTGACCTTTCCTTACGAAAACCTATATTTATAAATATATTCTGTGTACTTTATTTTCGTTTTCTTTGTTCCACAGCCAGCCGCTTGGTAGCAGATGCAGTAAGGAAGAACAACTAAAACAATATAATATTCGAAATAAATTTTTGTGGAAAGCGAAAGTACAAATTTATTTCTGCACCCGCTTTCACGAGCTTCGCAGCACTCTCACCAACTGAATATACGTTACAAATTACCAGGACGAAAATACCTTGACAGTCCATGTTCATAAAATGTCAATTAATCATTTGTGATCAACATTCCTCGCAGTTTATTCTATTGGAAAACATTATTTTTAAGTTTTTAACACTTTTATCAAATTGAGTGTTGATTAAAAATGAATTGTAGACTGTACCACTGCAATATGTGGCTCTGTTGACATTGAGGCAGTGGACCTCCTAGAACCATCCCATTTATGACCATTACAAATAAAATTATTGATTTTAAATATTGATGAATATGTAATTTTCCTAATGTAGTAAAGGGCATGTTGGGTTTTTTTTTTTAATATTATTTTAGAAAGACCTTGTATTATTAGCTAAGTTGTTTATAATCGTGACACATTTTTTATACTTCTTAGTTTTAAAATTATTAGTTGAATCTTATCTTTTCCTGGCTTGTATGTTCTTGTAGGGATTGTAATCCTTAGAAGCGTAAGTAAAGCCCCCGTATTTTAGTTTCCCTATATTAAGATCTCTTTTGTGGAACAATGAATTTCTTAATGCTCTGTATTATCGCAGATTAGATTTTGCTCAAGGAATGTTAGTAATTTGTCATGTTTAAGTTTGTCTTTTTTAAGGTTGAATAATGTTGTTAGTTTTTCAAGTGTTGCCAGCTACAAAATATAGAATCGCGTTGCCATATTTCCAAGAAAATTACTGTACCTCTTCTAAAACCAAGTAAGAAATGTTTAGATGTATTTTTGTACAATTTTAATATAGCTAGCCTAGCTTGTACTCGTGGCTTTGCTGCGTGGTATACAGTACCAACAAAAGAAACCCCAAGGTTTTCATAGAATAATCATGTTTTAATTGTTTGGTGTTATGCTTGTGATGTGAAAAATCCATGTTATGTGCCTTTAACATTTGGCTGCCATCATTATTGTATTCACTCAAGGAATTGTTATACTTGTCATTTTTCACATAATAAAAGGAATTCATTGTATTCTTTGTTTTTTTTTTTTTTGAGAGGAAACATTTTTTTTTCAGATATTTTTACAAGTCTATTATGATACAAGATTATATATGCCTCAAGTAAAAAAGTAGATGAATGTGGTATCAATAAAAAGAAAATGTCAACCAAGATACATTTTAAAGATGAGTTTAAGGACAGCCCACCAGCTGATGGATTACCTGATGGTAAGTAATCGGCGCCGCCCATAGACACCTGCAACACCAGATGGGGATTAGGCTTTAGGAGTTTTGGGGAGTGGTATAGAAGGGATTGGGCAACTGGTAACTCTATACTCGCATATTTTTTGGTCTTAGAAACGGAAGGCTGCTGGTAACTCCCAAGTTTACAAACAATATCTATTAGAAACAAGCTAATACAGTGATCCTGTAAAGCTGTAAAGCTTATCTGTGCTACGACAGTGGTTACAAAAACTGCAGTGTCTACTACCCATCCTCTCTGCATGCCTGTCTGTTATAGACAGACACAAAGAGTATATAAACTATATTCTAGACTAGAATAACTCTACAAATACTCAATTTCTTTCTTTAGAGTATGTCACTAGCGATGGTGCTGCTGCTGTATACAATCTAAACAAGTGGGTTGATGGAATAATTTGCTAATTTAAAGGGCAAAGTTTCTTAAAAGAAAGCCTGGTGAGTCCAGTCATTGCCGAAAAACAGAAATATCACACAATTTATAATAACATTTATTTCACTAAAATAATCTACATAAACTAAATTATTATTAAACTAAGGTATTATGATGAAGCACTCTCTTTAGCCTTCTCTTCCTCTAACTTGGCTAAATTCTCTCTCTCTGTCTTTCTGTTCCTCCAAGCTGTCATGTAGGATCGAGGGTGGATAGGGAAAAAGCCAGATAATCCTGAAAAAAATAGTAAAAAGTTGCATAAGACATAGGTAGTTTAATACTAGTAGCCTGTTTTAAGCATTAGGCTATGAGCTATTTTTTTTATTTAAATTAAGTACATAATTGGGTAGTTTTCTTAAATAAAAACTTATAACACACATTCAATTGGTAATTTTACTATATACTAATATAATTTTAGACTGTTAAATGGAAATATATATTTTTATGGTCATTTTTTATTACTGATACTTCTGAATAGGTGTTGATGTTGGGAACTACTGGAATGGCATGAACTATGTATAACAAAAGTATGTCAGAGTCATATAGGAAGGTGATGAAATAGGCCCTGGCAAATTTAGTTTGTAAAATATTTAAAATTTCTCAGAATAACACAATCAGATACTTAATAGCTATACTTAGCATAGTTTGTAACTTAATTTTTGATGACAACACCATACATCTATTACTAAATATTAATCTTAATCCAATTTCTTTTGATATTGCTTAACTAATCAGTGGTTTTGGATCGTCATCATTGTCACAAATCAGGAATGTATTTAAAAAACAAGACAGTATGTAAGACAACAGTCAGATTTTAAGTACTTAACTAATATAAATTAGTCCAAGTCTTTATAACTTACCAAGAAGTTCAGCAACAGGATTTGAAACATGAGCACCTTGGCCCAGCCAGTATTTGACTCGTTCCAAATTCAAAGCTACTAGTTTCTCATTGTTTATGTTTGGCATGGGATCGTATGAGCCCAGTTGTTCAATCACTGGCTGACTGTTCAGTCTCCTTCGCTGTAAAAAATAAACAAAATATGATGTCCACAATACAGAGAGAATCGAGGAAAAGAACTTAAGAGGATTTCTATGCTTGAACTTAATAATGCGAGCCCTACAATCCATAAATGATTCTTACTTACATGAGTAACAGAAATATGATAAAATGGCCTGTTCGTACATCCCTGACGGATCAAGCGTATAGATTTAGCGGCCCTAGCAAAATATCTGCCAGTACCACTCGCTGGAGGCAACGACATCCCTTAGATTTATGTAATTTAATTATTTTAACAAAATATCATAAAATAACCTCAAACAAGGAACACAACGCCTTGAAGTTTTGGTTGACGTTCGGAAATAAATCTATGGGCCTGTAATGTCAAGAATAGAAAAAGGTTTTTTCTTATCTTAGTGTTAGACAAACATAGTCAATTAATGTACTGCAAGATTATTATAAGCGAAACAAGTTAATGAGTTAATTATATTTTAGTAAAGTAATTTAAATTTATTAAGTATGATTCCCACTTTTCTTTTAATGTATAAGTAGGTACGTTTCTAGACGAAAAATATTTTGTGTCAAAAAAGAGGCAATTAATTATTTGAAAATGTGCAAGTAGTATTGGCGGTAGAGCCGAATCAAATTAGATGTAGCTATTCTTATCGTTGCATCATTAATTGAACTGATGCTTTGATGAACAAAATTGATGGTTAATAAAAGAATAGACCACTTATTGGATGAGTTATGAGAGAGACCGTAAAAATCCAAGAGTTTTGATTATCTGTGCACAGAAATAGTAAAGAAAAACATTTTTCGTAAGTACTAGCTACTTACCTACTAATATTGATAGATTAATAAATATTATATTATATTATATCACAGTTCTAGAATAAAAAAACACAGAACTTTTTTAATTAGTGTTCTTAAATAATTAATTTATGTATATCAGCGGTATTTTTCAAAAACCACTTAACTATAAACCTTACCGTTTATCGTTAATTTATAAGTACTTAGGTAAATCTACCCCCTCTTCTCTTATACATAATATGTATAAAATATATATATGTATAAAACAAAAACATGAAAATACCACCTAGCCCACCTAGGAACCTAGGAATTTTGTCTTTCAATAGAACCAAAATACTCATAAAAAAGGAAGGACAGACATATTTATTTCCCTACATTCTTACGTACCTACTTATCGTTTTTTTCCATACTGCAAAATCAAGCGAGGTACCAGGATTTCATAAAACGCGAAGAGTGCTGACTGCTGAGTAAACCAATAGGAGCAATTGCGATGGTGGCGCCTCTAACGACCGCGACCGGCGAACGACGGCGTAATTTTTTACGAGGCGCGCGCTGTTAGATTCCCTGCTTTTCATTCATCCTGCACCCGCTTGTAGTGTTGCCTGTTTTGTCGACGAACCACGATTATGAAGTTCTAAAACAACCTCAAACAATTTTAATGTAGAAAACTCTATGTTGTCTTTTCTAGATATGTCAAATTTCGTTTGTTAAATTCATCAATAAATACCTTTATGTCTAAATAATGTAAACTTTAATAACAAGTCTAGGTCTAGGACAATGTTCTACTTATTATAATGGGTAGGTAAGGTTATTCATAAACGACGTACCTAAATAAAACGAAAAACTTGGTACTTGGTATAAAACTTATTAATTTTAACTAGACCAAATAAGTGGTAAAATTAAGCCAAAGTAAACCATGCGTACAAAATAAATTAATAAACTGTAGACCTACCGTACGTCTTAGGTATACATATAGGTTTGATGAACTTCAATACGTTTCTACATTCCTAGTACCTAGGTTATAATAGCTATTTGTATTATGAAATGAGCAAGCCCCAGCAACCGCCTCGCTTTCAATTAGATTACTTCAAGAACGTTAACGTTCTACTTACCTACTCAAGTAAATATTAAATTCTCATTGGAAGTAGGTACTGGGACATCTCATAAGTGTTACAGTCATGAAGTATAGTGAACATTCTTCCATCGACATAGTTCCCATCACTAGCCTTCTCCCGATCACTACCAGCGCCTCTGACCGACATAAGTCGACCTTAATATAGACAGGGACACAAATACACCGAATACTCGCACGCGAACGGGACAAAAAATGTAAGTGGGTCACGGGATGAGAGCCGTCTCCGTGCTACCGCTTTTATTAAGCGCTGAAACGCTGAAAAACATGGCTCCAGGGAAATGGGTGGTTGAAAACAGTGGTCTAAAAATAGACATGAACCTAGGCCCTTCTTTTTTGATGGAAACTATAATTAATTGAATTTGAAACTAATCTCAACTTATAGTTTGCCGCAAAATTATAATTTCGTAGAAGTAGTAGTGGGTAGATGGATGCCTTATTAGAGTTGAGGTGGATAGGTCTCACTTCGAGCAAATAGTTTAATGTTCTGTGTAAGAAATTTTATGGAAAGTCGAAATAAAATATCGAACACAAACCACGATGATAAACGATCGTCCTATTTAAAAATTCTCAATAAAAGTTTCCTATTTCAGGAAGTTTCAGCGTAGGGTGTCAACGTACTGTTGAATGGTTACAACGATCAATACATCGAGGGCCATTTCAGTAATTGATTAAGCGTGTTACAATCGCAATCAAATCTCCGCATACTGATCGAAGATGATCGTTTCCGAAAATAGCATATCATGTTAATTAAATTAGTAGCGAGTTTCGCGGCCGCACTGTATCCCGGCGCGCGACAAACACCGACCGGGAATCAATCGGTAGCGCTCCAGCCGCTAAGTTGTGCACAAATCACGCATGCGCAACAGAAGAGCGATCGATGCGGCGGGCGTTCCGTTCAGTGGTCGCGTACCCGTCGCGCAGTCCAGTGCACAATGCGTCCCCACTGACGCGGGAAACGAGTCAAGCTGTATCTCCGCGAGTACGCCGCGGAGGACGACCGGCCGCCGTGCCGGGAGGAGTGGCGCCGGCAGGATTGGGCCGGCGGCGGTGGTGGCGCGCGCGCCCGCCTGCCCCAGGTGGACCGCAGCCCGTCCCGCCGCAGCCCCTACCTGACTCGAGATGACGAGCCCTCGCCGGCGCCCGACGAGCGAGGCCGCTCGGCCTCGGCCGGCGCTCACCACCGCGCGCGTCCTCGTCCACTCCGCTACCAATCCCTCGAGCGCGAGTATGACCGCTCGTACGCTCCGCCGCCGCCCCCCGAAGATGACTACTACCGCCGCGAACAACCGCCCGGTATGTTCCTGGGAGAGTTGCAATCTCAGAATTCCGATCTGCACCGGGAGCTGGGGAACCTTAAGAAAGAACTGGAATTGACGAATCAGAAACTCGGCTCCAGCATGCATAGCATTAAGACCTTCTGGAGCCCCGAACTGAAGAAGGAGCGGGCACTGAGGAAAGAGGAGAGCGCTAAGTACAGCCTTATAAACGACCAACTAAAACTGCTCAACCAGGAGAACCAGGTTAGTTCACAGCTTTGTACTTGTGTAGCATCTATTTCCTCTTACTTGCAATATCCTTAGGAAGCAGTTTTCTATTTCCTTTCCTCATTGAGCTTGCCTTCCATTAGTCGGTATGTAAATCTAGGTTATCCTTCTGTCACAAAATCTGACGCGTGATGGAAGTGTTCTTCGTCTCTCTGTTGCTGTCCTTTTCTGTGTCTGCCGCCCTTCTATCTGTAGATGTAGTTCTACTTGCAGATTCATCCGAAGACGTTTTGTAAAAACGAGGCCTGATAACTATTTAAATAGGGCATACAATCTTACATAAAGAAGGAGAAGATTTAAAGAAAGGACCTAATAAAATATTGCCCAAATGACAATACTTTTCGAATCTACGTTAGCGTTGCGTTAAGGCCTTTCTTATGATTGGATTAACTGTATATTTTTCAATATTGGTCAAAATAACCTAACAACTAACAACTAATCGCCGTTTAAAAAAAGCTGAGAGAATTATATTAACACTAATCACTTTAAATGGGAATTTGTCACATACTTAGGCATTTCTTAAAAAAAAATACAATATGACAGACTGAAATGGTACAAATCTTTGTAACGTAAATTTTCTCATTTTTTGGCAATCATATTGAATTTATCATTTGACCTAACGATATTGATAAACTCCGTAAAAACATACAACCAATTAGTTCTAACTTTGAACTCTTAAAAACAAGGACTCGTTCAAGAATAATGAATTTAATACTTCCAGCTTTACTATCTGAGAATGTTAACATACTTTGGAACCAAATAAACACTAGCGGTGAGTCAGAGCCGGCTCGATACGGATCTTCCATGCTTTATTGCGTCACACGCACGCTCAGAAAAATTCGTACAATTATTGATGGGAGAGGTTAGTTAGGGCACTTCGTAATGCACTCTTCTACTTTAATTAATCGTGATTACTATTGTAAAAGAATGCCCAGATGTTTCTCTAATGGGTTCTTTAAGAACGGGGCTTGATGTTTGTGAAGAAAATCATAAGATAGAACATATGATTTTAAAGGCTAACAACATAATTTCATCAAAAAATAATAATATATCAAAATCATTGTAGTACTATTTACCTTATTCTTTAGTAAGTAAACATTTAAAAGCTTTAAATAGAGTATCTGTTTATTCAAAGGAGATAATAAGTACCTAGCTACATTCAGCAATCTAAATTTGTTTTGGCCGCCCACTTAAAATGTAATCTTTTATTTAGTCTACAGTCTATAAAATTAGACGGATGTACCACATCTTATGATAGACAGGTACTTAGTTAAATATTTGCAATGCAATCTATTTGGTTGACATCACTTATAGAGTTATTTTCTCCGTACCCTTTATTTGCAAAGGTCGTGTGCTGATCTGAGTTTTGGAATGCCTTGAGTCCTTGACGACTTTCTTCTCAACCACTGCCTTTGGTTTGCCTCAGGGCAGTAATTAAAGTAGGTTCCGTTATAAGCTAAATATGATCAGACCAACGGATAGGTTGTCTTACCACCACGTAGTCTTGAATCGTCCACTTTTCATCTGATATTCGAACCACAATATCAATGTTCACACCAATGTTTCTCTTCATAAATTTCGATCATATGAAATGATCTTTATATAGCTAAAGTTGACATACATAAGTATATCTACCATTTTTATTACTTCTAAAATATCACGAATAGTTTTCTATTCCTCTTATCGAGAACAATTATAAATTTAATCTAAGTTAAAACTCTTGCCTATTCTTAAATTATACCCAGCATCACTGAGCGATTGTGTACCGCTTAGTACAAAAGAAAAATGTTGGAACAAAGATTTTCCTTCGTATCTCGAAGTACGTACTTCAGAACCTAATAAAAGCACTTTGTTCAACTACAAAGTTCTGAGCAATGGCGGCGCGGCACCGCCCGTTGGTTTCAATCCAGTTAATTTTCATTTAACTTGTTTAAAAGTCTGTCAGTTCTCGTTAATCTAGGTCCCACAAACAGAATAAAACTATAGATCGAAATAGGTCGCCTATACAGCGTACTTTGCTCGAGTTTATAGGCACGGTCGATAGAGGTTACTGTGTAGGGACAATTTGGATTTTTCCGATACCACCATACTTTTCTTCCCTACTATAGGAACACAAGAAACTATTTTAGGTACAAAAATGTTACAATCGAGTTCAATAATTACTAAACGGATTCAGATGGTGTATTTCGTACACATAGAGTGACATCTGATTATTTTGGTCTTTCTAGACGATTCCGAAAATATTGCGGATAATCGTCAGTTTTACAGCATGTTTTTTTCATACTTAATTCTTTTTAGAAAACACAAAATATTGACCATTTATCCCATCACATAAAAATAATATATAATACTTAACTGATGATCAGAATTAACGGGTGACTTCAAAAAACCATTTACCTATTCCATTAAATAGATGTTCTAGAACTTTCGATCAGATTATCGTCGTAACGGTACATTTCATATCGGTAATCTTCGATTTGGTTTGGAAACTTAGTTTTCATAAGACGGAACTCCGGCCGATAAATTAGGGACTCTAATTATTAAAGCCTGGTATAACCATTTGATAAGAAAATTTCGAGAAAGAGAGGTATATAAATGAGAAGGTACATACATACGTCGCTCGGTACAATCGACGACGTTGTATGACGTAATTTTTTTTTTTTAATCCGACCGATAAATTAGGGACTCTACTAAATTAAAGCCTGGTATAACCGTTTGATAAGAAAATTCCGAGAAACAGAGGTACATACATGAGAAGGTACATTATATACGTCGGTACAATCGACGACGTCATGTGACGTCATGTGACTTCATTTTTTTTTTAATTATGACAATTTTATTTTTGTTGTGTTTAAATATAACGTGACATAAATCAAACATGTCGATTGTACTTAAGATTTATTTCATCGCCTTAAACTAAAAGATTTTAAGTTGAATTTTTTGCGTTTAGGGTTTAAAATCTTTTGCCACAATTTGACAGTTTAAGGTAGGTTGAAATGCCAGCGTGCGAAATATTATTCTAGATTTCTAGTCTTCCTACGGAATAATTTTCGCATAAAATATAACAGCTTCTTTAGAAAATGACGTAGAACATTCAGTATTTTTCTAAACAAAATCCAAAAATAGCTCACGCAAAATGTAACGAATTTTTCCTTTACCAAGACTTTTTATATCATTCAGAGAATAAAGATATTTTTTTCTTCTTAAAAGACAAAATGTTCTTTCTAAGTACCTACTCGAGTAGGTAGCGAAAGTATTTTTATAGGACCCATTCATCATTTTTACACTGCGTAAGAAAGTACTTTGTTTTTTCCTTTCATGGATGTCATTCATCTCATCATCGATTAGAGGCTTAAAAAGAGAAAGATCTGATTCTCTTTCAAAAAAATGTTTATTTGCATATTAATAGCCACAAACTTTTATAAATGTTCTAAGATTTGTGGCATCCGCCATCCTTACTAAGGCGAGGTCAAGACGCAATTTTTGGTCCCTGAACCAACAGAGTAAAAAAGCCATAATATTCAAATACAATTAATTTCTTGTGACGTCTATTGGCATGTTGGTTATTCTTAATGTTATAGTCTAGTCTAGACAGTCCCTAGTGCCAAAACCTAGGCATTGGCACATTGTCAGAGACAGGACTCAAACCAGACCAAATATTTTTTGTCGACCCATTTCTCTATTTGGCAAGAATCCTTGTATTTTATGGGCAAGTGGAAGACCATCGACCTCCTTAATATAGGGCATACTTTTGCCAAGTCCGTCCCTGGCCTAAATCCCAGCGCGTCTCGGTTTTATGCCAGAAGATTATTTTATTTAAGTACCTACATATTATACATAAAGTATCTTTTTGAGCGATAAATAAATTCGAATGGACATTCTACTTCCTTTGTAGTTCGTAGAAGAGACAGATTTATTTCCTCATGTTATAAAATTTGAACTAACTGAAATAACTTCTTCTAAAACAGCAATTATTTCAAGATGGAGAGCTTTGTCTATATTTAGCTTTGACCACTAATGAAACAACGTTCCAAATATAAAATGCTCTAAGCAATTTCGAAATGAAACAGTTATTTTAAAAGGATAAGTAGCGAAATCCGCGCGGTTCACTAATTGAGCGGACTGGGGGCGTGAAGCCGAGAAAGGGGGTCATTACGAGCCATCCCATCCACCTGCAATGCAGGAGATCAAGTTAACCTATTGTCTGATTGTCGACGCTATTGTTATTCTGACTCCGTACTGCAAACTGCAATACACCAATTGAATAACTGCTAATTGCAAATTGTATGGACTGATAACTTTATTACATTTTCGTGCGGGCTTCCCGGCTTTTCCAATCAGGCGGATAGAAAATTCAATGTGCGGATTTTACGCCAGCATGTTTTAAAAATGTTGCTGAAGCTTTTCTATTTTCGCGTGTATTGTGCGCGGATAAAAGGAAATGTCATGTACAGAAACTGGAACCATGGCTATTGTATTGAGACTACTATTTTGGGGTAAAATTGCTTGGTGCAACAAATTATCACTCACATTTAGATACCAAATGTTGAAAAATTTTTCATTGTTCTTATGAGATTGGGAAAATTGTTCATCGATTCTCATCCGAAATTTAAACTTCTGTAAATCTACAATGGTCTATTATAATATATTAAAAGATTGATTTCTTCTTGTACAAAACCTAGAGATTTTCTCTACAGTTTATGACAAGTCAGCCAAACCCCTTCCAAGAAAACGTAACATTATCTACTATTTGCCGACGTTCTTCCATCAAAAGGAGGAAAAAATATTTATCGAAGATGTGTAAATAAGACAATGCAAATAGCGAATAGAGATATTCTGCCAAACAAGGCCCAGTTGCCAGTAACATAAGAATTGTACCCTGCAATCACTTTTACGGCAATTTCAAGTTTGACGCCATTACAGTTGTCAGTTTGGCGCGAAGCCAACGTCCAAACTTGTCAGGTGCCGTTCACAAA